CTTCTATCCTTATCCTGAGTAAGCAAATCTTTATAAAAAAAAATTATTTCCTAGGGCAAATATCACGAAATGCTGCTTATGAGTACTTTAGCAGGATTGATAATTTAAGAAATTTCCTACTCAGCCTGTCAAAACATGCTCGAGTGCTAAATTTAAAAAAAAGAGGCCGAGACTATATTATTTGTTTATATCAATTATGTGCGTCATTACACGATAAGTGTTTATTCTGCGAAGTTCACTAAAAGGTAGGGTGCCCACGAAAACCAAACAGAGTTGTGAACTCGCGAGTTCATCTGTTCTGGCCGATTCAGAACATTGCTAATCAAGCTGTCGATATGCTTGCCCCCTTTACATTCACATGTTACTCTCTTCATTAGTTTTTTTTCTGGAAGCTGGTGTGATCGGGTACGGCCATACAGGATGGTAATCTTCCCTGTACATCAGTCAGGCGTTTCGCAACCGACTATAATCAGATACATCAAAAAGAGTTGGTAAAAAAATCAAAGTGGCTCAATACTACTGCTTCATTGGTTGTGTGCTACCAAGGAAATAATTGTATCACAAAATTAAGCAAAAACAACGTAAAACAGCAACATAGCCGCGTTCACGTTGAAACCGAAACCAACCAAATTGAAGCAACCTAATGGCGCCGAGTGCGTCAGCGCCCTCTGTCCGCCGGTGAGGCAACTACTAAAATGAAAAGGTCTATAGGAATGAATTTAGTACCATCAAAATGTTTTTCTGTGCGATGCGTAGTTTTCGCAGGAGCGATTTAGCCCGCATAGCCTGCATAATTAGTCACACAGAGGTGCTCGGATATACCTAATCGAGGGGATTTTTTAATTATCTTGCTATATGCAAATATCCTTTCTTAAATCTCGAACTTAAAGGGGCGGTGCAATGATTTTCGGACTTCGGTCAAAGATTTCTGGAAGTTGCCCCCAGACACTTCTGAAGTAAAGAACAGAAAACCGATTTTGCCTGCGTGTCCTAATTTTTGCGTAAAATAAAGATAAAGATTGGTGTTTCGGGCACCCCTCAACTCACTCCCAGCCTTCAGGGTCACACCTGGTCGCACTCCCAGTGACGTCATTCGGAGTGCCGTGTAGCTTCCCTTGTGCTATCTCGGAGGACGCTTCCCCTCCCTCTCTCTGCGTGCATTAGCGGGCGCTATGCTGCGGCTTAGAGCCGAGCGAGGTCACGTAATCTTTCCGCCGTAGTTCCTTCGGCTGCCACTTGGGGCTGCAGGCGGGGGAAAAAGCTCGACCTTTGCTTTGCGATTAAGCAGCGGAATCGCGACATTTTTAATGAAGGAAGTGTTTTCTCTATTCTCCGGGACACGATAAACAACGTAAAAATGACGAGATGCAAATTATTTTAATCATAAAATCGTTGCACCAAAAAAAGGCAATTACGAATGAGAAACAAAGGTTGTGTTGACCATATCTGCCTAATATATATATATATATATATATATATATATATATATATATATATATATATATATATATATATATATATATATATATATATATATATATATATATATATATATATATATATATATATATATATATATATATATATAGGTGGGGCAGAGTACCTTGAGAACAATGGACCGGGAAAATGTAATAAGTCAGAGATCCGTACTTGCGGAGTTGCTATGCTAGGAGTTTATTGCATGTATTTCGACAGTTTCGCCGAGAGGCTCGGCTTCGTCAGGAGATGGCATACATGTCAGGAGATGGCACACATGTATGCCATCTCCTGACGAAGCCGAGCCTCTCGGCGAAACTGTCGAAATACATGCAATAAACTCCTAGCATAGCAACTCCGCAAGTACGGATCTCTGACTTATTATATATATATATATATATATAATGGGATTGAGTGAAGATTGACAAGTGCAGCCGTAGTAATATTGAGAACGAAGAGGGGAGAAGGTGATTATTGAATTTATTGCATTAAAGTTATATATATATATATATATATACATTCTTGCATAATAGCCACAGTTTACATTTCAAAGTTTTACTGTAGCATAGACATCAAGAGTCACAAAGTTTACGTTTCTTTTTAAATACACTAGTCGCGCGTGTGCGCCATCCCGCTTTGAAAGTGTGCTTTCCTCGTAAGCACGCGACTGCAATATTTGTACTTTTTAAAGTGTCGATCGGGGCGGTTTAGCCCCGTTGAGCGCGCCTCTTATCCTGCGCCCGCGTCCTGCGCAGAAACAACACCCGCAGAAGCAAGCTCCACGGGTGTTGCTTCTCCGCAGTACATCGGTGCTCGCTAAGAAGCACGCTCAACGGGGCTAACCCACAGCGATCCACACTTCGAAAAATACGATTATAGCAGTTCATCCCGAAGCGAATATTGAATAGCGTATTATTCGAAACGACTATTCGAAAATTCGAACACTAGCACAATTCTCACGTTTTTAAACAGTAAATTAGCTTACTCTCAAGGTACTTAGAGCTAACAATACTGTTTAGCCCCATAAGCCCCTCGTCGTAGGTATACTGTACGTTGAGATGCTTTGGAGTGCCGGTTTCGAATCTGAAAACACTGCAAGATGCTTGAAAATGAGGCGGCAGATGGTGCTAAGCCTTCAGTCCATTCCTTGATTCCCGGCGTGTAAAGGCTATGGCTGGGAAATTGATTTATTAACCTACCATTTAATCAATGAATTCTTTAATCGCGATTAATGTTTTTAACCGGTTAATAGGTAAAATTTTGATGAACCAAACGAAAGTAAAAATCCACGCTTTTACCACGCAGACGTGGACGAGAGCAGCTATATGAAGGGCTAACTTTAGGTCAAAATAAGCCTAAAGCAAACTGTAAAGGCAAGATATGTAACTCCTGACAAGTGCAGAAGGTTGCACATGTCCCGACCACTCCAACGCCGTTCGGGTGTCCGGTTAGCGCAGCAGAGGCTATTAACAATCAAAGAAGGTCGCTCTTGCCGGAGAATATCAAAGAACCTCTTTGCTCATGCAGCTGGAGTAAAAATCTGTGAGTGTCTTCGAACTGTTCTTAACTACACATGGAGGTTGACTCACAATCAAAATTGTATATTGCGTCATTCATCACATATAAAAAAAAAATGACTTAAAATATTATGCATGGAAATGACCAAGACCAATTAATCGAGCAATTAATCGAATAAAGAGCGGCGATTAATTGGGTTACAACTTTCAATTGACGCCCAGCCCCAGAAAATAGTCTACTCTAGAGGTGACATTACTTAATTGAAAAATCTCTAGGAGCTAAATACATATCACAACGTCTTTCGAAGACTTCTTCACACCATTATCGTCCTTCATATCTACTGAATCTGAGCCTCAACAATCGTGTGCCCCCCAAGCGAGTTGAAGTTATTATACACCGAATGCACCTGTGTGTTTCTTACATAAATAATAACATAAATTAGGGTGATTGCGCAAACGAACTAGTAAACAATAAAAACATTTAACCTTTTTACTTTGGTGAAGAAGAAAGAGCAGCGGAGTTCTGTTCTCGGCGGTGGCTTTCCAGGCGACAGATCTGCTCTTCTTTCGCAAGAGAGTCGAAGCACTCGACGCAGTGGAACTTTTAGGCGATAGCGGCTTCGCGGCGGTAGCGAAACAATTCGCGCTGCTGCGCAGATCGCCGCTCGTACCGCTCCCGCTCCTCTTCCTCCGAAGAAAGATATAGCCGCCATCTATGGGCGACGGCGGCAACCAGTTTTCTGGTTGCTGGCGGTAGCTGTCCAGAGTTTGGTGACATCATTTCTAATCCGGCGGACACGATCCTGGGGTAACTAACGCTTAACAGCTCCGCTGTAAAAAAAAAAAAAAAATCTGAGACGAGGGGACACATAAATAAGATCAAACATCACACAAATTGGGTCAAACGTCTCAAAATATAAATGGTGTTGCCTTTGTCCCTTTGTGTGTGTGTGTGTGTGTGTGTGTGTGTGTGTGTGTGTGTGTGTGTGTGTGTGTGTGTGTGTGTGTGTGTGTGTGTGTGTGTGTGTGTGTGTGTGTGTGTGTCCCCTCGCATTTATATTATAAGCGATCATCCTTCCAGAGACACTCCGCGTCGCTGGAAAAATTATCGCAGTTATGAGATCGTCCTGCGAGTCTGCGACGCTCTACCCAGAAGATAAGTTGAAAAAGAAGGATATTTTAATACTTTGTTTGCTTTGTAACACCCACTTTTAGCAGACACGTATTTCTAGAAGTACAAATTAACAAATGACTGACTAATATTATTGTGTAATTTTATTTAGGTCAAACAGCAAAAAAGTGGGAGAGGAAAGGCGGTCACTCACGACAGCGAGGTATTCGTATATATGTGGTAAGACGCGGGTACGCCACTGGAGAAGACGTCACAATATTCAATAATGGAGACGTCCTATTGTTTTCAGTTTTAAACACGAACCCGCAACTGCAGTATCCCTCACTTATGCCCTCTATGCGATTGCACACGTGCGTGGGCCGCCTAGGCAAAAATGTGAATTTGGACTCGCGGATCTGACCGTATCCGACCCGCATCCCTTGCCCCTGGCATCTGCATCCGATCTGCAATCCGCCTCACATTCATATTTATCCGCATCTGACAGCTGACTTCGAATATTCGCAGATGATCTGCGGGTAATCCGCGGACGCGCAGGGCTTATTTCGCTTGGTTTTAGAAGCTGAGAGAAATCGGTGGCCGAGTGGGCTAGCGCACACCACTGCAGCTTGGAGCACGGGAAGCAAAAGCTCGCGCTGCAGAACCCAGGGATCCTGGGTTCAATCACCACCCTTGCCCGTTTCAATCTGGATAAGCATCGTACCGGCGTGCGGTCGTGTATCACTACTGCGTGGTGCACGTTCAAGACCCCAGGCTAGCGATTGTACTGCACTGACTAAATTGCTCATCTACAGCTGAGAGATAAGTCGCCCGTTGAGTTAGACTAAGTTCAGGCCCTATAAACATACCCACACCCCAATTTTTTTTTCTTTTTTTAGAAGCCAAGACAGCGAGCGAGATGCTTTCCCAGTGCCGCGTCTCCTTGCTTCTATTGCTCACCCTGGCAGTCCTGGTATGCGTGGTGGAGCCCAGACACCTGACTCGAAGAAACGCGCTCGCTGCCAAGATCGCCCAGAGGAGGATGGGAGACATCGAGTTCCTCCAGCAGATTTTCAACAGGACCGTGGAAGGCGACATGGAAGAGGCCTTCTCCATGGTCGTCGCCAGGGTTTCCGACGACCTCTCCAACACCATGTGTAAGTGATGCCTCCGTGCATCTTGCGCGCACCGCAACATATCTGGCGATAACTTTCGCCTCAAATCCAAGGATAAAGTCTCTTTTCTTTTAATTCTTCTGGAACGGCAAATCACGCCATACTCTCACGCTTCTTGACCTCTCTTAGTTCCTAAGTCTCCCTTTGGCACAGTGGTAAGGTGTCGGACTCAGCATCATGGAGTCCTGGCTTCGGTTCTAGCTGGGAGATGCTCGAAATGTATTTTTTTTTCTTTTTCGTCATGTGTTCTTCCCTTCTGACTTTTGTCTCTGCTACACATTCTCGTAACGTCACATCACACTTGTTAACGTTGCGCTTCATAATCTGTAAGACCGGCGAAAGCTTGCCACTGACCGGCAGATAATCTACTGTGCGGTTCGTGTATTCAGTTCACTCAAAAGCTCATTAAAATGCGGTTTCGCTTTTGTTTTTGAGGAACGCCGAACTGTCGCGCTGCTGCGCCCCTGACCACCTGGATAAATTATGAAAATATGTTTGCAACGTAAATGCGTATATCCTTTGGCGAAGATGGTAATTTTCATCGCACGATCAGGAAGTTACTTCTTGGCAATAGCGAAGCTATCTATACTGCAGCTGCAAGAGGCAGAGGTGAAATTGTTGGTGTGATTTGGCATCGAGGTGAGATTATCGATGAGTGACGAAAATTCTATACAAAGCTGCGTTTCTGGGTGTTGTATAGTTTCTGGCCTGGGTGGAACCCAAAAAAAAGGGTCCCTCCCCTCAAAAGGGATTAGAGGGGATTATTTCCCTGGACTGCCGCCCCTCGAAAGGGATAAGCATGGATTATGCTCGGACCACTTCTTTGCATAAACCCGAGGCAATCGTCGCGCTCTGATAGGACGTTCGACGCGGAGCTTTGTTTGACGCTCTCCGATTATATTAGAGAGAAAGGGAAGTGCATGCGTGGATAGACTGAGTGACGGGGGGCAACGGGGGCTTCAAAAAAGCCGGGTGGCTTTCTTGAAGTTTCTCGAAATGCGGCTTGTCTTGTTTTGGATCGGTAGAAACACTTCGCTACTTCGAGCAGCGAGCGGCCGCTACCGCTGATGCGTCGTCATACCGACTCCGTGGAATTTGGCTTGTCTTGGATCGGCAGAAACACTTTGCTACTTCGAGCAGCGAGCGGCCGCGAAATAAACCGCTGATGCCGAGTGGTTTTCGTGACGAATCGTCCATGTCTCTTCAATCTGCAAAATGCGGTTTGTTTGCTTCGCTTTTCTACGAACGTACCGATATTGTGAAGCAAGGTGCGTTTCTCGGCTTTGCGTAATCAGGATAAATCGTGTTCTTTTCAATACGCGTCGAGTACGTTGCACCGACTCCCTCGTGAACCGCGCGCCCGAAAACCACGAGAGGCAAGGTAAGCGAACGCCTCGGACCCCAGAACCGGGAAAATAAAAAAATAAAAGTGAAGGGCAACCACACGCGCGTCTCTTCGTTTTATTATTTGTGTCCCCGTCTCGGATTAATAATGAGTCGTTCTCCGTCTATACTCCGTTTCACCTTATGTTGTACCGCAGAGAAGGCCAGAAGCGCGAGCTTGTTGCACGAGAACTTGTACCGTCGAGATGTGCCCTAGAGCAAGGAGCTCGCGCTTGTAGCCTTTCCTGCGGTACACTACTAGGTGAAACAGAGTATAGCCTCCGTTTTTTGCCACGAGTTTGTGACGTGTAAGCAACGAAACTCTTCACACTGCTTTTATTTATTAATTTTTTTCCGCTGAGGATTTTTTCAATTTTTATTTGTGCCTGGTTCTGCTACTCTTCTGCTCTCGCCTCCCCTCCATAAAAGAAAGGCCCACACAATAACGTGTTCCAGTAGCCTGAAGCAAGTCACTCACCTATTCTTCACCGTTGAAATATTTTAGGCTGTACAACAGTAATGTGTGCACACAGAAAAGTAACTTCTTGCTGCAATGTTTGTCGTTGAATATTGGATCACCAGCACAAATATTACTTACCGATGAGTGCCCAGGACAGCTTAAGAGACACCAGTGCACCCTTCAATGGTTCAAACCACTGCTTCATGCACCACACAGGTGACTGTGGCATAGTGACAAGCACAACCAGGGTGCTTGCTGTTTAATGTCAGAAACACTTTGGAAAATGCAGTTACCACATGACCCTGAAGTCCTAGAGAATCTTAAACCTTGGTGCCATGCAAAATAACTAAGCTAAAGAAACCGTCAAGGAAGAGTCACAACAGGTGCAACCCACAGGTTCTCGTGACTCCACATACCGGGCCGGGCAGCTGTAAATCAGCGAGCAGGTGTCGTAGAGTAGCTGCCACTGCAAGCGGTGCAGTGTCTCATAAAAAGAAACGGTTGCTGGAGAAAGCTCCCATGAATGCAAAGTCTGTGGTGAGCTTGGAGTAGTGATGGTGATCCTGAAGCAAAAAGGATTCAAGCCAAGCCTGTTCCTGTGTTCCATGACGTATGGCATCCTCCCCTTACCAGAATTCCTGGTTGTTATTTTCCTTCCTTACGTGCGCGTGCCCCATTCAGCAGCAATAGTAATAATTGCACGTTGCTTCGACAGGACGTGCTGATTTGGAGGGGCCTGGTGGCAGAGTGTGTTAGCCCACTGCAGCTCGCAGTGTGTGGAGCATGGGCGTGTATTACCGCTATATGAATCATCTTAAAGACTTTGGGCTATCAGATGTACCGCACTAGTCAAATTTCTCACATAGAGCGTGACAAAGTGTCACCATGCGCTGCCAGACCGACCTTCCTTCTTCTCGACAAATAATGTCCAATTTTCTTTGTTCCTGCTAATTTGGCAGTCGAGTAAAAGAGAAAAAAAAAGAACTACTTTTGTGTGTGATGGGAAACGTATAAACCTCTCCATATACCAGGTTTACCTACAGCCACCTGAAAACATCGCACCTCTTCAAGTGTGAAAGAGGGTAGGCCTGCACGCAATCCACTACACTCTGTTTCACATTAATTTGGGAAACTGTAGAAACTGCGGTGTCTGTGCAAGCCGGAGGAGTCTGCTGTGAAATTAGCACACTTGGGAAGAACATACCCCATGTACCTAAAGACATTAGATGGTTTTAAAAAGGCATTCATACTTTCAGTCGGCTTGCAAACTCTAGCAAAAATGTTGGTTTGTACCGTAGAAGTTTCAATTTCCCCTGCTTGAACTACTAGGAAAATAACTTCAAATTCACAATAGTGCTGAACGCAACTAAAACACATGGCGGAACGGTGGCCCGAGTCGGCTAGCACGTCTCAGCTCCGGGCATGTGCAGCGAAAGCTTGCGCTGCAGAACCTGGGATCGTGGGCTAAATCCCAGCACTTGCTCATTTCGATCTGGAAGAGGATCATACCAGTAGGCGTTTGTGTAATCACTACTACATGATGCACGTTAAAGATCCCAGGCTTTCGGTCATACTGCGCTGGCTAAATTCCTCATCTACAGCGGCAAGCTTGGCACCATTCGAGGCAGGCCGACCTTTCGCTGTCTAAACATCCTCAACACAATGCTACTTTTTTTTTTAACTGAAACACGTACAAAAGAAAACATGCCTATGACCTTGTACAGTAATGCATTGAACTGTTTGCGAATGCTTGTGATACACAAACGGGCAAAAGGCAAGAACGAGAGCATGCACATTCACACTGTGGCAGCAAATACACCACAGCAGCCTCCTTTGCCGTTGTTGCCATGGCGGATGGAAGAGCAGGGCAGCGAATGCCGATATGACTGAAAACATTGTAAAAGTTATTGCTTTGCTTTTAATAACAGTTCAAAAAAATTTAGATTAATAGCTTTTCAAAACAAAGCCACGGTAGCAGTACTTTTTGGCGCAGATGGAACAGTCTGCCGCGATGGTGAGGAAATGCTGTAGCCGTTGCCTTTTGCCAAGTTATGGAGAAACACAGCACAGATCATTCCACTCGGAGAGAAGACGCACCCATGAACCAGAGCACTCAGACGGGACTTTTCCTCGGTGCGTCGTCTGCGTCAAGAAACGAGCTATACAAATGATTCGTTAGCATGGAACATGGTTCCAAATCTCACATTTAAGCTATTTCAGGTGCAAATTTAGAAGTGGGGGTTAGCATGCAATGCCATACTTGATGAAGAGATTAACAGGGCACAATTGTGCAACCATCTCCTGTGCAAAGGAAAACAGAAAACTGAAAACAAGCACATAAACAATGTGCACAGTCAGTCTGCTCTGGCAACAAAACAAAAAAACTTTACACCAATTTGGATCGGAACTCATTGAACCCCCTAACAGCGCAGTCTTAAAAAAAAACATAAAAAAATAAAGCACTTGCCAACAAGCAATGATTATGCATATTCAAGGCATTTCGCCGACGAAAAACAAATCCGCCGCCTGAAACCCGGTGCTTGCTAAGCCTTCCAGAAAAAAAAACCAAGGGTGCTTACATTATTGTTGATATTTGTGGCAGTGTTATACACCAACTCATGTTTACAAACAAACCGGAGCGCCCCTAGCGGACGCCACCGGCGCCGCGCATGCACGATGGAGTGTGGGCAAGAAGCTTGCCGTCGCCCATAAACAAACCATTGAAATGCGATGTTGTTGGCGTCGGTGTGAGTCCCCCTGCCCTTTTTCGCGTTCGAATCGTTGATTCTACGTCTTCCTGGCAATGTCTGACTACTTGAGCGGCCTCAACGAAATTACCGGGGCTCGTTACACCGCAAAACTTTGAGTGAATAATGCGACATGCAGCGATTCATTCCGCGCGGACGCCGCAGAATGCATGCTTAAGCCTGATTCGCATGATAAGATTCTGCTCGCAATTTTCAGTTGCAACGTCGCTGGGGCTGCAAAAGCATGAACCTGTCTGTGTTCTGTGTTCCTTCCTCGTTTGTCCTCGTCTCTTTGTGCGCGATTTTAACCATGTATAACTGAAATGGTCGACGTCAATACTGAAAATCGCAAGCACAATCAGACCAAGTGAACCAGGCATAACAAGTCAGTG